ATATTAAATATATATAATATATTTTATATAAATTTTAAGGTGTCAAAAGAATAAAAGAAACTTACAATTATAACAATAAATCAACCTTGTCAAACTAAGCCTTAGGCCAGTGTTCTACAGCCAAACTGCAAGACACATGAGAGATCCACTGCTTATTCTTGTAGTTCCCTTAATAAAACCAAATACACCTTCAGAAGATTACAAATGTTAATGAACAAAGAAAGATCCACTAAGAGGCCTTCAGGGTGGAAAGACAAAATTGAACTTCATTTTAGTCTGATCTTATATTACAGACTTTTAAAGAAAAAAAAAAACTTTTATCTATGCTTTATTCCCGTTGAGACATTTCGCTTGAATAATTTTCTTTTTCTTTCAAATGCCATTCATTTATATTTATAAATAGAAAAAAAAAAGTAAAAAATTAAGACATCTTATGACATTTAAACCGTTAAGATTACCCATGAAATTATTCAAATAACCTTTAATATTCTTCCTTACATATTGATTCAATATAAATATTTGAGACTATTCATTTTCATTCTTGACAATTAAAATATTAAAATATCTTAATTTTCCCCAATCCCTTATAAATTGAGTAATTTCCTTTGAATGAAATCCTTTTCAAATGCCATTCATTTGCCATATATAATAATAGTGCAAAAAAATTCAGACAGAACTACTTTCAACAAGCCGGGGCAGCAGTATACATGACCCGTCTTGGATATCTCTTAATCGCCTGAACGTTGACGTGCATAAATTTCATTATATCAAATAGGGACGAAGTTAGTTGTAATGATCTCAATATAATAAGAATCAGGCAAAAGAAAATATCAAATATTACTTAAAAGGTCACTTGCTCCAAAGGGTAACTGCAGTACATGAACATAAGAAAAGAAACCAAATTCAGCCATATAAGAAAGTTCAGACTCATTTCCAGAAAACAAAATCTTCTAAAAGCTATAAATGAAGTCTAACATCAGAACTCATCCCACTCACTACAAACGAGAAAATAATGTCTTGCAATTCAGACTGCTATTAGGGACATGAGATTCTGAAAACTGCACCAACCTTCATGCTATAAGCCTAAGCAACAAGAGTGCTGGCAGTTGTAGATTCACTGCAAAGCAAGAAGTTGAATTAGTGACACCATGGACGTGTTTGTCAGAAAGACGTATCTAGCAATCAAATAATGAATAAAGATGTGTAGAATGTGGATCCTGCAACTAGACAATTGGTGAAAAAGGCTACAGTGCAATGGAATAACAGTAGAAAATCAATAAAAAAAAAAAAAACATTTTAATAAGAACTCATACACGCCAGACTACAAGAAGAATGCAGAATACACCCTGATAAAACTGAAATGAAATTTTTAGAATACAAACAGGTTTAAGAGAAGCCAAATGTGCGTTCAGTGGTGGAACCCATTTGCCAACTCAATCAATCAAACATTTTCCAGGCTCAAGGTTTTCACAGCACAAACTTACCAAAAACATATTTCATGTGTTAGTTACATGGTAAACATATCCTCTTTTTCCAGAAGAAGTATTAAGTATACCATGTCATACCACATAAAAGTAAAACACACATAACAACCATTCCGGAATGGAACAAAACACAAGCCCAGGGAACACTGCCCAAACACTAAATGGAAACAAGACTAACAGAAGTACGGAGATCAAAATCCCATTAACTCTAAGGAACAAATCTAATGATCGCCCATCAGATGTATCACTAACATACAAGAAAATATGATGTACCATTACCATAGCAACGGAAAGGGCAGACTTACTATTTCCACACAGGTGGGAGCTTCTTGGTTTTCTTGTAGTAGCGAGCAAGCCTGTGAATCCTGCTCTCCACAAGGATCAGCCTGAACTTGGAATCCTTGTCCTTCCTGTTCCTCTCCAAATGCTTACGAATAGCAACAGCCTTCTTGATGAGGTGATACAGATCCTCAGGAATTTCAGGGGCAAGACCTAATAAAAATATCAGCTCATTTAAACAAGTAAAAAAAATGCAAAAAAAGTGAACATATCTCTAGATATCAAATTCAAGCAAAGTAAAATCCTTTACCATGAGCCTTGAGGATACGCAAGATCTTGCTTCCAGTAACGCTCTTGACCTGAGCAATACCGTGAGAATCACGAAGAATGACACCAATCTGAGATGGGGTCAGACCCTTTTTTGCAAACTTGCAAATGTTCTCCTCAACCTGCAAGTTGGCATTAAAATTTCAATCCCACATTCAGTAGGGTCGAATATGGAGAATCAGGACAATCAACTTACATCTTGGGATGAGATCTTGAGCCAACTTGGTGGGGTTCTCTTGTAAGGCAGAGCTGAAGCAGAAATACCCTTACTGAGACAAAGAATTCGAACGAAGAAGAAGAAGAAATCAATGATAGACAAAGGAGCATAGGTGAAGATACATAAGAGACAGTGATAAAATGGAAAAGGATAGACGGAAGGGAAAATGAGGCATACCCGCGACTGTGCATACGACCCATGGTGACGGCGAGGGGCGGCGGAGCTTACTCTGCGGCTTACCTGCTTATGTTAACAACGGGGAAGCAAACCCTAACTTAGGTTTTTCTATATAGCGCGAAACTCACCAGTCTCCAGGCTTGGAGTTTTGGGCCCTTACTGATCGACCCAAGTTTAATAATACCAGTCCAAACTAACACTAATTTATGGCTTTATGCAAACTTTATATCTTCAACAAATCCATTCAGCCATTCACTAAGGTTTGGGACCATTTTCCTCCTTGGCCCAAAAACCCATTTCCTTTGGACTTCAAAACACCAACAACTTTGTAATCACATAAACCTTTCCTCCTTTAATCGTTTGTGACCACACAAGCTTGCAATGTTGAATTTCTAGGTTCATTCATGTCTCGTTTCAACATTTTCCATTGGAGATCGGGAAGTAGAAGCTGCTAGATGCTGAATTGAGAAAGAAACCATACTTTTAGGCTATTTCTGCTTTGAAAGGGTTAGGCAAGTTGCACGAGAAACCCAACCCCATAATTGTTAATAACACTTAATAGGTTAGTCTTTGGTGTTGAAGTGCAGCATGCAATACTATGATACTCAACACACAAACAATGACCATTGTATCGAGCTACATGGGATTACTAATTAATCCTCCGAGTAAATTATTTCTCAACACAAATGGAGGGAATGATCAACATCTTTCAAGCATCCCAAAGGTGAAATCTAAAGTACTTCAACATTCCCATACTTGAAATTTCCAGCAAAAAAGATGCAAAAGGAATCCCCATATAAAGGGCTACCAAAAGCCAAGCTAAATGGACTTAACCCCCACCCATCACTCTTTTGCCCCAATTTTCACCAAGAAAGGAATTTAGAGCACATGGAACGCAACTTCTTGTACATCACTTTTATACACTTTCCTTCTAGCTAGAGATGGAGGAAGCATGTAAAAATGTAATGCCAACGTCCCTAAAAAGAGTGGGCTCGACCACTCTTCTTATTGGATCACAGCCATCATCATCTTTATGCCCACTCCTCTTTTTGCCAAATTCCTTTTCTTTTGCTTTTGGTAGTTTCTAGCCGCACAGATGCTTCATAACCTCTTCTTTTTTTATCTCTTCTACCCCACTTCAATCTCATATTGACCCTATAAGCATATTATCGTGATTAACAACCACATAAGTTTAAAAGGCTTAAAGTGAACAATAAAGAAATCTAACTTAGATTGTCATGTTTTAACCTCATCCTTTAAACACTTATTCCTTACATTTGTGTTTTTCAATCGAGCTTTAGCATGCATTATGCAACATGAAATGTCTTCAAACACCAATTATTATGTTCCTAACAATTTTTTCTTTCTTTCTTTTTTATGTAGCGATCATATAGTACATATATATCGAACCAAAAAAACTTCCAAACCCTGATTAAGCATGCAACATGAAAAGAGTATGAAACTAAAAAAAATGCCCAAAGATTACTTTTTGGTTTTTTTTTTTTTTGGCCGTGTTGGAAGGTAACAAAAGAAAAATGGAAAAAGCTTGAAAATTGTAAAGCATGAAATCATGAACCGAAAAGTGATTTGAGTGCAATTTTCAAAATGATTTGAGTGCAATTTTCTAAAAGAGAGAGATGCCTTCTCTCTCTACTAAGGAAAATGGAAAAAGTTTCGAAAAGAAGGCTAGGGAGAAGGAACATATCCTCTCCAAAGCACTAGAATTCTTGAATTTATTAAAAAGAAAAAACAAAGTAACGTGTCCAAGACAAACCCAGCCTTGATTAATTAATGGATAAAAACTGGTATCCAAGAACCAGATAAGAGAATACCAAGATCCATGAACACCTAAAAAGCAGCAGAGAACAATACAATACTCTGCTCCAAGCCACGTCTAAGACTTTCTTTTTCCGTGACTGTAGTAATTTCTTAATTATAGTAAATAACAAAGGGGATTGTAATTAAAAAAAATGAAAAAATAGTTCTCTATTTTTTTTTTTTGTATTAATCTCCTGGTATTCAGAAATCACATTAAGTCCTAACTAATCCGAAATCGAGTTAAATCAGACTCGATATGAAGGGAAATTCTCTCAGTATCTATTTTTTCATTCATAAAACTCAAACTCAAGATCTTATTTAAAGAAAATCGAACTCCTTTCACACGCACCAACAGGTAATTGGTATAGTTCTCAACATTTAAATATTAGACTTTATGATATTATCTATGAAATAGGCTATTTACACCCAACCATGGGTTGTAAAATGATTTTTATTTTTATTTTTTTTTTTTTATGAAGAGGGAGGATATGGACTACAACCATGTAGTTTGTGCAGCATTGAATATTCGATTCTTATAAGAGCACTTCATATTCTATTAAGTGCTTCTTTTCTTTGTTAGGGGAAAGTGTAGAGTGGTCCAGACTTTACTGTTTTGTTGCTCTCACTTATTTCAAACAAAAAATGGACTTGATGCACCATCATTTTCCTTGCAAAAGTTTCTTCACCAAAATTGAAGAAGACGGATGCATGTGTCACGACACAATGCACAAGCGTAATTGTCTTCTTTCTAGACAACCGTTAAGGACTATTAAATTAAAATTTCATGTTATAGAACATTAGGACAAGCGAAAGAGGCTATCTTGTGCTATAAACTCCAACACTCGAAGATGCAACACACACAAACAAACAAATAGAAGTGTTTGCATCGAAAATATCAATGATGTGAGTTAATTTATGGTATAGCTCTACAAAAGGAAACGATATTGAGACTTGAATGTATGCTAGCTTCCATTGCACATGGAAGTGCTAGCTAATGTGTTCCTAATTGTATTCCTTCTCAATAACATTTATCTTGGTATAATACAACTAAATTCTAATTTTTCGATTAATTAATCAACTCCGTTAACGTTTACATAATTTAAAGTTATAATTTATTACAAAAAACTAAAATAATAATTAAGTTAACACAAAGTCTCAATATTATTTCCTTGATACATATGCTTACATTATCACTAACATAGACGAGAGTCATGTACGAGGGTTTAAAGTTTCTATGATTGGAACGAAAGCTAGTGAAAATGAGGGACTTGATTGCACTAAATACTTAATTGAGGGTCGAATTGTGGGTTGTTTCAATTTCCAAATCCAAACGATGAAAAGGAGAATCCAAGGAAATGGACAATAGAGTGGCGGTAGATTTGTCAGATTCAGAAGTCTGACGCAGCACGAACACAGATGCCAATCCAATAAAACTACCATAATTAAATTCCTTACCAACCTGCCTCGTTATTTTACAATGTTTTGAGATAAATTTGAATTTTTTTAACTTGTATTTTTAGGTTATAAGTTAAAATTTTTTTTATATAATAAATTTATATAAAAAATATAAAAATAAATATTAATTTTAAT